CATCTCCCTCAAAGCAGCACCTCAGGTGAGCTTCAAGGAGCCTCTCCCTGTCTGAGCCTCCTGCAGCAGCTGTTCCAAACAGGTTCTTTTTAAGCCCAAAAAAAAGCCCAGCACGATTAAAAACCCCCTCTTTAGTTACATGGGTAATTCTTCTTGACAGCTTTGTCTTAGGAATGTGCTAATTTAGGGATGAAAGCCTGACAAGATGAAGAACATGAGGAGAAGGGTTTGAAGTGGGTTTCTCCAAGGATAAGGGCTGGCTCATCAGGAAAAGGCTCCCAGAAAGTGGTTTGGACAGTGGGTTATCCCAATTCCTGCAGTGGGGGCTGAGTTATCCCAATTCCTCACAGTGAAAGCTCTTTTATTCCAATTTTTTGCCAGTGGAGGATCTTTTATCCCAATTTCTCACAGTGAGGGCTGGGTTATCCCAGTTCCTGCTATTGAGGGCTGGGTTATCTCAATTCCTGTTGGAATTATCCCAATTCCTGTTGGGTTATCTCAATTCCTGTTGGAATTATCCCAGTTCCTGTTGGGTTATCCCAGTTCTTGCAGTGGAGACTCTTTTATCCCAATTCCTGCAGTGAGGGCTGGGTTATCCCAAATCCTGCAGTGAAGGCTCTTTTATCTCAATTCCTGTTGGAATTATCCCAATTCCTGTTATAATTCTGGGTTTGTAATGCTGATTTTTAAGGTTGTGTGTAGTGCTTGGTGTGTCAGGGGCAGAACATCTGCTGTGCCTCCCTCGGGCAGGAGGGAAATCTTTCCGTTTTCCACCAGGTTCTTCCCAAATCAGGAGCAAAACTTGTGAGTTTTGTCCCTGAATCTTGAGCTCTTACTAAAATGAAACAGGAGGGATCTGACTGGGAGTTAATATTTTATATGGATTCAAATGGGAGCAGGATGGAGCATTTTTCCAGATGGATTTTAGGGGAGAAGCTGGAATTGCTCGTTTTGTTGCACAGCCCATTACCCCCATCAGAGAGGAGCAGTTTGCACATCTCAGCTGGGTGGATTTTGCATACAAAATTCAGAAAAACGCATGGACTGGATCTGAATCGTGGCTCAGTGTCTGTCTGGAAGGAGATTCTCCCTCCCAGCTCCCAGGAGAATTTTTAGAGGCTCTGTTTTTTTAGGAGCAAAGCCCAAAAAAAGTTAAAAAACAACCCAAAATCTCCAGAGCAGAAAACACTGGGGGTGTGTCCAGGGGAAAATAATTCAATTTTAAAGGAAATTATCCTTTAAAATGGAGTCCAGGCTGCTGCTGGCTGAGTGTTACATTCCTTGCCAGGAAGAATTTATTGGAATAAACATCCCAGTGCATTTGACTGAGTGGAAAATCCAGCTGGGAACCCCCCTGGCTGGGTGTGGAGACAGAGGGGTGTGTTTGGAGTGGGGGGAGTTTTGCCCTGGATTTTAGGGAACGTGGGGAAAGGAGTGAAATCATTGATTTAATGAAGTATTCTGGTGTTAACAATACACAGAATTCCCATTTCTCCTTCCTGGGAATGGCCTTTGGAGCAGTTTTACCCTTTTTTTAATGCCCTGAGGTGAGGAGGACACAGCACCTGCGCTTCCCTTTCCTGCAGATCCTGTACTTCTGAGGAGAAAAAACAGGAATTCATCCCCCCTGCCTGGTTTATCCCATCCCAAAGGGCTCGGAGCAGCATCTTGGGAGCTCAAATCTCATCCTGCTGATGGAGGACAGCTCAGGCTGGAAGTTGTTGAGCTGGAAAAATGGAGATGGGGATGGTGGCCCCATTCCATGGTCCTTGTCACCCTCCAGCTCCTTCCCCGTGCCCTGCTCTCCATCAGGTCTGGATTTTCAGCCCTGATTATCCCCATTTTGGAGCCTTCTGCTCCCACAGGGAATTTCCAGCTGCAGAAGTGCTGATTCCCAAGGAGATGGCACCAGGAAAATCAGGTTTTTATTAATTTTGTTTTTTGCAAAGCCTTATCTGCTCTGCTCCCTGCTGGATTTGCAGGGTTGGCTGAGCCCCTCTGTGCTCCCAAACTTCCATGAGCTGAGTTTGCATCACAGATAATTCCACAGGTGGGACAGGCTGGGTAAAAAAATTTCCTATTCCAGAGCAATTTCCAGTTGCTCTGACTCAAGTACCAGAAATTCAGGAATTTTTGTGTCTCTTGGTAACACTTAAAGCTGTGCCACAGAATCCTAAAATCATTAAGGCTGGAAAAGATCAAGTCTAACCTTGAAGTCCCTGCTTTATTTTTAATTATTCCTACCAGCAATGTTTTCTTTCCAAGTGCTCTTTGCTAAAACCTGGCCTAAAATCCTCCCTGGAAGAATCCACTCTTAAATCCTGCAGGTTTTTGCAGAGGTTTTGGATTTGGGATTGCCTGGTCAGATTAAACCTTGTGTGTTTTGTGTGGCTGAATGGAGGCAAAATGTAGTGATGTAACAGCTGCTTGTGTTCTTGCAGGGGGAAAAAATCCATAAATCAGGAGGATGAAGGGATGGAAAATCAATCCCATGGTTGGGGGAGAGAATTCCTGAGCTTCTGATACAGAAATTGAGCAGTTCATCACAATTTTTGGGGTCTGTTGTTTTTCCAGTAACCTTGAAGGGTTCAGGTGGAACTTTGGGAAGGTGAACACAGCAAATTTTCAGCATGACAAATCCAGTTTATAACCTTTGGGCTGTTCTGAGTGTGTGTGTGTGTGTGTGTGTGTGTGTTCAAAACAGAAACTAGAGAAAAAAAGTTTCTGTAAATGAGCATCTAATCCATCTCATCCTTTTCTTTCACTCTCCTTAAAAGAGAAATTCCCCAACTCCCAGGATATGGAGCTATCTTCCCTTTCCCCCTTGCTCAGCTTTATCTTCCCTGTTCTCTGCTTTATCTACACGTGTTTTTAGGTGTTAATGAATCTCCAGCTAATGAGACATGAGCTGGGCTTAGACATCAGCACTGGGGTGACAAACTCTCCTCTGGGCCTTTGTTTTCCTGGGGATCTGGGATCATTTCTTCCCAAAGTTTGGAATTCCAGGCTTCATTTTTATCTGATATGGGAAATAATCACTGGGTGTGGCAGAAGTGACCCACTCCAGGGGCACAGAAAGGGTGGTCTGGGGGGGTTTTGACCATGGGAGGAGGAATTTGCTGTGGGAATGGGATTTTCCTCTGAGAAAGAGCTCCCAAGTGTTGGGGTGCAGCCCTGGAAATTGGTTGTCACAGGTGTGTCTGGTCAGGGGGGTGGTTTACAGAGTAAAATCAGGAATTTGAGCACTTTCCTTCACTCCCACATGTCTTTGGGACATAAAACCCTCCTTGGGCCTCTCATCCTGAGGTGAATTTTCCTTTGTTTGGAGCTGCCTGTGCACAGGCATCACCTTTGGGTGGAGGGAAGGAGCCCAAGGAGGATGGTGGCACCTGGGGACTTTGTTCAGCCAAACTTTTCCTGTCAGAAGCTGGGAGCTGAATCCATGGGCTCCCTTCCTTCACGCTCTGGGGTGGTTTGGAATCCTCTGGGCCTGTGAAAAGTGGCAAAGTTTGGAGCTACAGAAAATGGAGGGATGCTGGATGCTGCTTTGGTGCTGCTGACTGAGCTTAACCAGGGGTTATGGATGTGGAAAATGAGAAAACAATCCCAGAGGAGGCTGTTTTCCATGAACCCATGTCTCTGTCACCTCTGTGCCCTCCCACACACACAGGAGAGCACCACAGCATCGTGAGGGAAAGCAGAGCCATGTGTGGGGACAATTCCTGCTCCAGCATGGAGGGAAGGGAGGGAAAAAGGGCCTTAAAAAGGAAATTCCTAAAAAGAACTGAAAGGGCATCAGAGGAGGTGTTAGTGCTGAGGAGAAGCTGGAGTATTTTTGGGATCAGCAAAAGTTGGGAAGCATCCTCCTTGTAGGAAGAGCTGTAGCTGGGGATTCACCAGGGATTCCCCAGTGGTAAATTCCCAAATATTGGATGGTCTTGGCTCTGTGTGTGTCCAGTGTGGGTGGATTCTCCCCATGGATTCTCCCCTTCCCCCCTGCCTCTGCAGGGCTGCAGCTGCTGAGCCCTCTGTCTGCCATGAGGAACGGGCTGGTGTCACCTCAGTGTCACCCTCCCCCTGGCAGTGGCCTTTGGGGCACCGTGTTAGGAATAAAATTAGGATTTTCTTCCCTGTAATGCAGTGCTGGGCAGAGGTGGAATGGGAACGGGGTTGTTCCAGTGATTCAGCGTCATGGCTGAGAAATGTGCTGTTGGTTTGGGTGCAAAGAAAACCAAATCCCCTCGAATTCCTGTGGCAACATCCCCCTTTTGTCCCTTGTTACTGTGCTGGAATTTAGCCTGGAAATCAGGATTGTGCCAGGGCTGAGGAACCCCCCAGGTTCCCCCACCCTGAACCCTCTTTTGTGCCTCAGGCAGGTTGGAGAGGGCTGGAAATGGGGAGGATGGAGCTGGGAGCTTTCTTCAGTGCTGGCCACCACTCCATGGATTTCATGTTTGTTGGCATCCAGGTTGCTCCATAATTTTTTCCATGTTCCAACTAAATGACTTGGCTTTCAAACCCTCGACTTGCATTCCCCTCTCCTTTCTCCCTCTCGTTCTGTGCTTGGTTTTCCCCCCCTGGGATCACACACCTGCCTTTTCATGGAGTTGTTTTCTTTCCCTGGCACACTGGGCTGGGCTTGGAGGGCTGTGAGATCACCTTGGAGGGTGGCAGGTGGAGTTTTAATCACAGCAAACGGGCTCTGTGGTTGGTGTCATTTAGCAGAATGGAAAAAATACCAAAAATGTAACTTCTTCTAGAGGTATTTCTGTAGTGGAACGGAGGGAAAACTGTGTCCCTAGCTGGCATTTCCTAGAAAACTCTTGGGTGTGTATACTGAGCAGGATATTTGTTTCCAAAGCTGTTGTTTTTCTGGAATAAAACATTAAGGTTTCTGAGCTCCCAGTTGCCATTTTTCTCGCCACATCCACCAAGACAGCTGCTGAAAGAATGTTCCTTTTGCTATTCTGTCTCTGTATGTGCTGTTTTTTGCTTTGTAGTAACTCAGGTTGGTGTGTCCCAGGGACATAATTTGTGTCCAGACCCTGGGATTCCCGAGAGAGGCAAAAGGATAGGCAACGATTTTAGGTAAGAACATTTTCTGTGTGTTCTGTGCATGAGCTCCTGGGTGTCCCTGGCTGTGCTCCTGGTGTGGGGGGCTCTGTTTGCTCTGTCCCCCTCCCAAAATCCTGCCCAGTTTTGGGGAACACGTGTGTTAACCCTGCCTGTGTGTGCTGTTCCACGTGAGGCTCTCTAAAGATCTCTTGGAGTATTTTTATCCTTTCCCAATCCAGGCTGTAGAATCCCTCTGTGCTGTCATCCCTCCCCTGAAAAAGTGAAACAGCCAAAAAACAAAATCACTTTTCAAATTAGCTCAAGCCCCAGCATGGCCCTGCCCTTAGAGAATTTGAGGTGACTGAGGTTCCTTGTCACTGAGTCTGTGTGGTGCCAGCTAATTGGGGTTTAGAAAGCTTCAACCAGAGCTGTTGTTCCTTTCCAGTTCCCAGTTTTCCTTTGCAGGGATGCCCCAGCTGCTGGTGGCTGTGGGGAATCAATATTTCATCTGATTTTGCTGCCCAGGGATGTTTTGCTCATGGAAAATGTCTCTCAATCAAATCCCAGTCTGTTAAATTCTCCTCAAATCCAGCAAAGGAGGGAGGGCAGAGGAAAGGGAATCCTAACAGCCCCTAAATTCCTTGGGATGAATTCCCAGCTGCTGCAGACTGGATTGTGTTACCCAGTGAGCAAAGCAGCTGGAACAGCAAAGCTCAGAATCCAAACCACAGATCAAAGAGCAGAACTCTCAGCAGTTGATAAAGATTTTTATTTCACTTTATGAGAACACTGAGCGTGTCCTCTCCCAGGGCTGTGGATGAAATTCCCCCTGAAATGTCACTAAAACTGGGATTTGGACATCAGCACCTGGGGCAAACACGGCAGAGGGGAGGCAGAGCTGGTCCCTCCTCCCTTCCTGCTGCCCGTGGGGCCAGGGGATGGCTCTGGCCCCAAATCCTGGATGCACGAGGCAGGAGCAGGCTGATGTCCCCTGTGTCCCCTCTCCAGGCTGGGCTCCAGCATCCAGTTCTCCTGCAACGAGGGCTACGACCTGCAGGGCTCCAAGAGCATCACCTGCAAGAGAGTCAGCGACATCATCGTGGCCTGGAGCGACCACCGGCCCGTCTGCAGAGGTGAGGGGCTCAGCCTGGCTGGATTTGGGGATTTGTGGGAATTCCCAGCTCCTTCATGTTCCTTCTCCATCACCCATCCTGCCCTCGGGCCAGTCAGAGAGTCCCAGAATGGTTTGGGTTGGAGGGACCTTGAGGACCATCCTGCTCCTTCCACTGTCTTAGACACTACCAGGGGTCCAGAGACAGTCTGAGGGGGCACAGCCTGGCTGGATTTGGGAATTTGTGGAAATTCCCAGCTCCTTCATGTCCCTTTTCCATCACCCATCCTTCCCTCAGATCAAATCCCAGAATGGTTTGGGTTGGAGGGACCTTGAGGACCATCCTGCTCCTTCCACTGTTCCTCCAAGCTGGCCTTGGACACTCCCAGGGATTCAGGGGGAGTCTGAGGGGGCTCAGCCTGGCTGGATTTTGGGATTTTTAGGAATTCCCAGCTCCTTCATGTCCCTTTTCCATCACCCATCCTGCCCTCAGGTCAAATAATCCCAGAATGGTTTGGGTTGGACCATCCTGCTCCTTCCACTCTCCGAGATTGCTCCAAGCTGAATTTGTGGAAATTCCCAGCTCCTTCATGTCCCTTTTCCATCACCCATCCTTCCCTCAGATCAAATCCCAGAATGGTTTGGGTTGGAGGGACCTTGAGGACCATCCTGCTCCTTCCACTGTCTTAGACACTCCCAGGGATTCAGTGGGAGTCTGAGGGGGCTCAGCCTGGCTGGATTTTGGGATTTTTAGGAATTCCCAGCTCCTTCATGTCCCTTTTCCATCACCCATCCTGCCCTCAGGTCAAATAATCCCAGAATGGTTTGGGTTGGACCATCCTGCTCCTTCCACTCTCTGAGATTGCTCCAAGCTGGCCTTGAACACTCCCAGGGATCCAGGGGCAGCCTGAGGGGGCTGAGCTTGGCTGGATTTTGGGATTTGTGGGAATTCCCAGCTCCTTCATGTCCATTTCTCACCCATCCTGCCCTCAGGCCATCCCTTGGCCAGGTCAGAGAGTCCCAGAGGGGTTTGGGTTGGGAGGAACCTTACGGAAAATGTTTTTCCATCACCCATCCTGCCCTCAGGTCAAATAATCCCAGAATGGTTTGGGTTGGACCATCCTGCTCCTTCCACTCTCCGAGATTGCTCCAAGCTGGCCTTGGACACTCCCAGGGATCCAGGGGCAGCCTGAGGGGGCTGAGCTTGGCTGGATTTTGGGATTTGTGGGAATTCCCAGCTCCTTCATGTCCATTTCTCACCCATCCTGCCCTCAGGCCATCCCTTGGCCAGGTCAGAGAGTCCCAGAGGGGTTTGGGTTGGGAGGAACCTTACGGAAAATGTTGTTCCATGGGCAGGGACCCCTTCCCCCATCCCAGGTTGACCTTGGACACTTCCAGGGATGGGGCATCCACGATTTCTCTGGGAAATCTTCCCCAAGGCCTCCCCATCCTCACTTTAAAGCTTTTTTCAGCCCCTCAGCCCCCGTTTCTGGACCCTCTTCTCCCCTCTCAGACCCCTCCCAACTGTCCCTAAATCCCTTCCCTTCCCTCTCTCCTGAACATTCCTTTTGTTCAGGGATGTCAAACCCTGAGCAGGATCATCCCTCTCCCTATTCCAGCTGTTTTCTCCCCTCTCCTCCTTCTCCTGTTAGAGGAAAGACTGGAACAAAACCTGGAAAAGCAGAGATGGAGGGAGATTTTTAACTGGAAATGTGGAATTTTGGAGCTGTGCTTCCCCAGGAGCCTTATCCTGTGCCATGAGCCATCAGGGAATGGAGTTTTTTTTCCATTTTGCCCTTGGCCATTTTGTTTTCATTCCCTCTCTGAAATGTCACATTGTGATATTTGTAATGCTAATAAAGAACAACTTGTAATATTTTTAATTGAATCCCTTTAAAGCTCTTAAAGTCATAAATAGGGTGGTTTTTTTCCCCAGTTCTTTTTTTCTTTAATTTCATCTGCAGATTTTTTTCAGGGCTTTGGAATCCCGTGTAATTCTTGAAACAAGCCTGGAATAAATTGAATCAGTGTAAGAGGATATTTGGCATAAATATGTGACACTGTAAAGGAAATTTATGGTGTCCTCCTGCAAGAGATAAGAAAGGATTTGCCAGCATTATTCTGTTTCTGTGAATCATCTTAAATTTTTAGCTGCTGACTTTCATGTTTTGGGGGTTTTTTTCCTATTTAAAAAGTTTGATTTTTATTTCAGCTTTCTGTCACTTTTTCCTCCCAGTTTGTACCATTTTTTTTTAATTGGGTTTCTCTCAAATTCCAGAGCCAGTCCCAGATTTTAACCCCTTGGGCTTCAATAATTTCTTAATCCCCAATGAGCAAACTCTCGGGGAAAGTTCTGCAGCTTCCCCATCTTCATCAGATTCCCTCTGGATCCTGGGAGAGTCACTTAATCCCACCTGAAAAATGGGAATAATGGGGCTTATCCTTTTTTTACACTGTGGGAGCTCCAGGATGAGGCAGGAGTGGTTCAGCATCCTGGATAAGTGACCTCAGCTCCTTCCTAAACTGCTTCCCAACCATTCCCAATGTTCCCACAGCTTGGCCAGGAGATTATTTTCTACATTTTACAAAGAAAAAAAAAACCTTTTCAGACTCCACAAATGCAAATACCTCTCCGAAATTAAATTATACATTTAAATAAATAACTAAACTTCAAAAATAAATTAATTTTGAGGCTCCATCACAGCAGAGAATATTTCCAGAACCACGATGTTTTCCCCCACTTTTTTTTGGTGGAATATTTCAGCTAAATATTACATCAAAGGCATTCCACAGGCAAAATTTTCCCTGCTTAAGCACTTTTTCCAGCTTTTCCTTTACCTGAGATGTTTTGAATATGCAGAGCTGAGTTTCCACCTTAGTTCTGAGCCCACAGAAGGAAACCAGCTGATAAATACTTAATAATGACCTAATAAATCCTGGCTGTGCAGTGTTTTGGGGGTTTGATCTGCAGGAAGAAAGGGAATGTGGTTTTTTTTGGGACATCAGGAGGGAGTTGTGTCATTCCTGGCCTGGATGGGGAAGGATTTTTGTGAGGAAAAAAAGGGAATAAATCAGTGTGAGCATAGAGAGTGGGCTGGGTGTTGGTCTGAGGGGAGATGGGATTGGGGATTAGTGGGATCAGGGATTGTTTGGATTGGGGGTTGATGGGATCAGGGTTTGTTTGGATCAGAGTTTGATGGGATCAGGGGTTGATGGGATCAGGGATTGTTGGCATCAGCAGTTGTTTGGATCAGGCTTTGATGGGATCAGGATTTGTTGGGATCAGGGTTGATGGGATCAGAGTTGATGGGTTCAGGCTTTGTTGGGATCAGGGATTGTTGGGATCAGGCTTTGATGGGATCCGGGTTTGTTGGGATCAGGGTTTGATGGGATCAGGGTTTGTTGAGATCAGGATTTGTTGGGATCAGGGTTGATGGGATCAGAGTTTATGGGTTCAGGGTTTGTTGGGATCAGGGATTGTTGGGATCAGGGATTGTTGGGATCAGGGATTGATGGGATCAGGGATTGTTGGCATCAGCAGTTGTTTGGATCAGGCTTTGATGGGATCAGGATTTGTTGGGATCAGGCTTGATGGGATCAGAGTTGATGGGTTCAGGGTTTGTTAGGATCAGGGATTGTTGGGATCAGGGTTTGTTGAGATCAGGATTTGTTGGGATCAGGGTTGATGGGATCAGAGTTGATGGGTTCAGGCTTTGTTGGGATCAGGGATTGTTGGGATCAGGGATTGTTGGGATCAGGGTTTCATGGCCCCACTCCTCACAGAGAATCCCTCCATTTTTACCACCCGGCTGTAAAACACCAACTTAGCCATTTTTACCTCCTCCCACTTCCATCCCAAGCTCATCCCTCCTCCCTCCCCCGGAAAGGCCCTCCCCGGTGCTGAGTGTCCCCGTTTGTGTCCCCAGCCAGGATGTGTGACACGTACCTGCGCGGGCCCAGCGGGGTCATCACGTCGCCCAACTACCCCGTGCAGTACGACAACAACGCCTACTGCGTGTGGGTCATCACCGCCCTCAACCCCGCCAAGGTGAGCTGGGGGTGCTCAGCCTGCAGAAAACGAGACTCAGGGGTGCCCTCGTCACTGTGCACAGCTCCTGAAAGGTGCCTGGGCTCAGCTGGGCTGGGCTCTGCCTCCAGGAGCTGACAGAACCAGAGCACACAGCCTCCAGCTGCACCAAGGGGAAATATAGGTTGGATAGCAGGAAAAAAATTTTTACAGAAAGGGTGATAAAGTTCTGGAATGGCTGCCCAGGGAGATGGTGGAGTCACCATCCCTGGGTGTGTTTAATAAAGCCTGGATGTGGCTCTGCGTGCCAGGGTTGAGTTGAGCTGTTGGGGCTGGGCTGGACTCGATGATTTTGAAGGTCTCTTCCAACCTGGTCATTCTGGGAATTCTGTGAAGGTGGGTCCTCACCACCAGCTCAGGGCTGGGCAGTTCTGCAGCTCCAGGGAGAAAGGGTTTCTGGTGTTCTGTGGAATTCCAGGCTTGTATTTCATGGGATTCCAGGTCTGGGTTGGGAGGGATCTCAAAGAAGGGCAGGGACACTTTCACTATCCCAGGTTTCTCCACATTGGACACTTCCAGGGGCAGCCACAGCTTCTCGGGGAATTCCAGCCCAGCCCCTCCTCACCTTCCCAGAGAAGGGTTCAATCCCAATATCCCATCCAAACCTGCTCCTTTCAGTTCCAAGGCATTGAGGAGAATTGTTTTACCAGAGCCGTGAGAGGAGGAGATGAACAAAGGGGGTTCTTTGCCCTGATGTTTTATGGAACAAAAGTTGGAAGCTATTTGGATGCTGGGATGTGGTGGTGGAGTGTGTGTGCACAGCCAGACACAGCCAGAAACAGTCAGACAAATCCAGATCCTTCCAAATGCTTCCAGACAAATCCAGACACATCCAGAAACATCCAAACACATCCAGACCCTTCCAAACACATCCAGAAACATCCAGACAAAAATGCAAACACGTCCAGACACATCCAAACACACCCAGACAAATCCATGCATGTTCAGAGACATCCAGGCACATCCAGATATATCCAAACAAATCCAGACAATTCCAGACACATCCAAAAACCTCCAGACACATCCAGACACTTCCAAACACGTCCAAACTTCCAAATACTTCCAAACTCATCCAGACCCCTCCAAACTCATCCAGACACTTACAGACCCCTCCAAACACCTCCAAACATATCCAGTCACTTCCAAACACATCCAGAATCCTCCAGTGTCCCAGGTTGCTCCAAGCCCTGTCCACCTTGGCCCTGGACACTTCCAGGGATCCAGAGCCAGCCACAGCTTCTCTGGAAAGCTTTTCCAGCCTCTCTCAGCCTCACATTCGAGGTTTATTCAGCCCCCCAGGCTCAGTTTCTGTCCCCACACTGACTCTTCCCTGTGTTTCCCCAGCTGTCTTGAAATGCCTGACCTTCCCTCCCTGCTGAAGACTCGTTTTGTTAAGGGTTGTAATTAAAAGTGAGAGTAATTATTTGTAATCGAAGCCCCTTTGATATCTGGAGGGTGGGGAGGTGCCCGAGCAGCCCAGCTCATCAGGGAGGCTGTGCCAGGAATGCTGATTTTTCCCTTTTTATTTCCCCTTATCCAGCAGGATTTCAGCCCCCAGGGGCAGAGGAATGAGGTTTGGGTCTATCTCGTGTTATTTATGCAGTATTGTAAATTTATTCACATTTTTGCACTGGTTTGAATTTAAAAACAAGCCCTGTCTCTCCTTGTCATGAGCTGAGACTGGAAAAAGCTGTGAGGGCACCAAACACTGCCCTCAATTCAATTCCCACTGCCAGGGGAAAATGGACAGGGATTGATCTTTCCCAGGCCAGGGCAGTCACACCTGTACAAAAAGGAGATTGGAGTTGGTAAAATCCATTCATTTTAAGATTTCCCAGCTTGGATCAGCACAAGGAACTGCAGGTTCTGCTCCATCGTACACAGAAATATGGAAATTTTTGAGCTGTGAGAGGAGATCCCATTGCCTTCTCCTTTGAAATGATAAATAGTTTTAATTAATTCAATTAATGTCAGTTTTTGAGGGATTTTTTGGGGGGGGTTTATGTGTTTCAGTGTCATTTACAGAGAGGGGAAAACCTCTCCTGAAGCAGGGAAGAAAAGCAGCAACCCCTGTGGGAAGGTCACAGCTCTCCCTGCTTGTCCTGATCCTTTCCTAAATCCTAAAGGAGACTGGAATTGGTCAAATCCATTCATTTTAAGATCTCCCAACTCAGATCAGAGATTCCACAGCACAAGGAACTGCAGCTTCTGCTCTTTCATACACTGAAATATGGAAATCTGCCAGCTGTGAGAGGAGATCCCATTGCCTTCTCCTTTGAAATGATAAATGGCTTTAATTAATTCAATTAATGTCAATTTTTGAAGGGTTTTTTGGTTTTAGGTGTTTCACGGTGGAAGTTTTGATTTACAGGTTGGGAAAAGCCCTCCTGGAGCAGGGAGGGTTGGGAGAAAAGCACCAAATCCTTTGGGAAGGCCACAGCTCTCCCTGCCTTGTCCCTCAGGGATGATCCCAGCATTTCCCATTCCCAGCCTGGCTGAGGGAAGGATTGGGGATTAATTACTTCCAATAATTCCCATAAAATATTTTAAAACAATATTTTATAATCTTTCTTTGGTAATCTTTTCATGGACTCCAGTGGTCTTTGGGTCAGGTCCTGTTCCGTGGAGCTTTGGGAGAAGCAGGGACCTGAATTTAGAGGTCCCCTGCTGTATCTTTGGCAGAGAAAGAGCCTGAGATCCACTGAGCCCCAAAATCCCCTCCAAATTTGCAATTCTCCCCTCAAAACTGGGAACTTTGCATCCATAGAGCTGAGGCCTCAAATTGGGAATTTTTCCTCTGCAGAGGGGGGACATCAAACCTATTTGGGGGATATTCAGGGTTTTTTTAGCTGGGCCCTGGTTCCCTGGGAATTAATTCCAACCACAGTGGGAAAATAAATCACTGGGGAGCTGAGAAATGCATATGATAATTGGGGAATTTGCATAAAAGCTATTTCTGGCCCTTTTTGACATAATGGATGTTGCTGGTTGAGGTTTCCCCTGGGGTTGTTCCCACCTGGAGCCAAAAAAAAAGCCATGTCCAAAGTGATGGAGGGGAAAGGGGATGATTTATCCCAAATGGAGGTGGAAATTCTGGAGCCTGGGGGGCAGGGAAATGAGGAATGTGCTTGTAAAGCTTCAGGTCAGAACTGTACCAGCTGCTGTTCTCCTGGAGAGAATTATTGTGGATTTTTCTCCTCAGAGTGTGACTGAACTTCCAATGGCTTTGGAATCTGGAGTCCCATCCCATTTTCCTGGCTTTGCTGATTGCTCCTTGTCCCTTCAGCAGCTCCAGGTTTTGGGGTGCTGGTGGCTCCCTGGCTCTTTAATAAATCATTCAATAATTAAATTAATTACATTTCCAGCTTTCAGAGGGAAAATGAAAAAAAACAAACAAAAACCCAAACAAACAAAAAAAGAGAAAAAACCAAAACAAACAAAAAAACTTCACCAAAACAACAACAACAAAACCCCAAAACAAACAAAAAAAAAAAAAAAAAAACCCACCCCACAAAACAGGAAAACGGGTAAATAAATACAATATTCAGCATCCAAATCTTGTGCCACGAGGTTGAAGTCTTGAGCGTGCTAGGATGTAATTAGTTGTTTAATTAGGGTCAGAGTGCTGAGGATGCAGCTCCTTGAGTGGCTGAAGTAATGGTGTGTGCAGGTCTGCAGCTCGATGTTCTCTGGATTAATTACTTCATTCCAGCACTTCATGCTTTTGTAGCCTGCACAGGTTAATATTTGGGTACTAGACACAAATTAAAGTTGTCTGAAGCATCACCCGGGCTCCTGGTTCACCATCCTGGGGCTCTGGGGAAAAACCCCTCATTTCACAACAGCTAAAATCTCTACATTTCATTTTCTGTGCATTGAAAAATACCGTGCTCATCTGTAGGAAAGAAAACACAGGCCAGCTCAGCCTGAACTGTATAAACACATTTTTTTCTCTTATTTTTGGTTTGAACTTTGGGGTTTTTATCCCCCTGGGAATCCACACCTGCTCAGGTTTTGCAGGAGGTGCTGCTTATAAAAGCAAGGAAGGACAAGAACAAGATTTTGGGTTTCCTGGGCTTTGGTTCCTTGTCCCAAACTGAGGTGGGAAGTGGCCCCAGAGCTCTGTGGTCCTTGGCACTCCCCTGCCTTCTTCTCCCTTTTGACTTTCGGTGATTTTTGTGTTTTGTGAAGCAGCTGAAAGAAGCAGCAACCCACATTTGGGGATTTAATCTGTTAAAAGTCAGGAGATTTCTTGTATTTGCAAAGGTCTCGTGCATTTGAGTGGTTTTTGTGCTTTTTTTTTTTGGTCTTTTTGCTGGTCAGGTAAAGAATCCAAGAAACAAAACTCCATTGATTTCTGCTGATGGGGGATGTGAAACTCTTCTCTAATTTAATTAATCTCTTCTTTATCTCTTTGTTCTGCCTGTCCCAGGCTGGGTTAAGGACTCTGCCCCCTAAATTAGATTTGAAAAGCAGAGATTCCTAAAGCAGCTGAGAGCCTTGGAGCACCAACTTCCCTGGGAGTTCTGCTCCTAAATGATACAGAGAGGCTGCAAAAATCCAAAATTTGGGTGGAACGGGAGAGAAAGAACAGGGATCAGGGAAGTGAAAATGCTGAGGATTGTGTGTGCAGACAGCAGGAGAGAATTCTCTGACAATTCACATAAATCCATAAATCCTCTCCTGCTCTGACCACGAACCAGGAGAATTTCCTGAGCCACAAAGTAAAATACTCTGCATTTATAGCCAAACCCACCTCCAGAATTCCAGCTTTGGGGAGGGAAAGGGTGGGAAAAGGCTCGTGGAGATGCCAGCACACAAATATTGATATCAGTAAAGTCACATGGGCAAGCAGAAAAAAAAAGAAAAAAACAAACAACTTTTGGGAATGTTTTGGAGATTTTGATGCTCTTGGAAGCTGCTGCAGGATCCATGAGGAGGGCAGGGCTTGGTGCTAATTGATGAATGAATGGCGTTAATTGTGCCGTGTCTTTGGCAGGTGATCAAACTCACCTTCGAGGAATTCGAGCTGGAGAGAGGCTACGACACGCTGACGGTGGGGGATGGAGGCCAGGTCGGAGACCAGAAATCTGTGCTTTATGTGTGAGTACAATTCCCTCCTGTGGGAATGCACCTGGCCAGGTGGGGCCGCAAGGATCTGGTGGGTTTTGGGACTGGTTGTCACTCTGGGGACAGAAAACTATCCCCTCTGTGCTTCATGTGTGAGTACCAATTCATTCCTGCAGGAATGCACCTGGCCAGGTAGGGCTGCAGGGCTTGGCATGCAAGGATTGGTGGTTTTGGGGCTGGTTGTCACTTTGGGGACAGAAAACTGTCCCCTCTGAGTTTTATATGTGAGTCCCAATTCCCAGTTCCCTCCTGCAGGAATGCACCTGGCCAGGTGGGGCTGCAAGGATCTGGTGGGTTTTGGGGCTGGTTGTCACTTTAGGGACAGAAAATTGTCCCCTCTGAGTTTTATATGTGAGTACCAATTCCCTCCTGCGGGAATGCACCTGGCCAGGTGGGGCTGCAGAGACCCAGTGGGTTTTGGGGCTGGTTGTCACTTTGGGAACAGAAAATTGTCCCATCTGTGCTTTATGTGTGAGTACAATTTCCTCCTGCAGGAATGCACCTGGCCAGGTGGGGCTGAGGGCTTGGGATGCAGGGATGCAGTTGATTTCGGGGTTGGTTGTCACTTTGGGGACAGAAAACTGTCCCCTCTGTGCCTTATGTGTGAGTACCAATTCCCTCCTGCAGGAATGCACCTGGACAGATGGGGCTGAGGGCTTGGCATGCAAGGATTGGTGGCTCTGTGCTTCCCTCCCCCTCAGGGAGAGGCTGAGGCTCTCCAGGGAGCTGAGAAGAGCTGGGATCCAAAAGGAAAAGCGCCAGGAGCTGTTTGGATCTCTCTCTCTCTCTCCTGCTGCCATAATTTTGAGCTGTCAATCCAAGATCTTGGAGTGACATCCCCATCATTTCACACCCAGAGTGCATTTGGGGAAACGAGGCTTCTTCCAGGCTGGGATTTGGGATTTTTTTTGCATCCTTTTCTTGCAAATCTGATGTTCTGTGGGGGTTTCTTCAGCACAGGGAATGTGCAGATGGTCCTGCTTTCCCTCCAGGCTTCTCCTGCAAAGCTGCTGTGCTCTGGCATTTCTCTGATGGAGAAATTCATTGTATTTTATTGTATTTTCTCCTTCTTCCTCTTGTTTTTCCACGAGAAGCAGCCTCCCACTGCATTTTCACACATCAATATTTCTTTGTCTTTCCCAAACACCTTTTCCCTGAGGTTTTGTTTCTTCCCAGCACATGGACAGGGGTGATCCTTGGTCAGGAACCCCAGCTGGAATGTGAGGGTTGATCATTGCTCAGGTGTAATTCAGGTGTCCCAGAACATTTCACAGCTGCTTGGTCACAACCTGCAAATCCCTGCCGTGGCAGCAGTTTGGAAGAAATTCCTGACGTGATTTCCCATTCCAGCCCTTCTGGTTTGCCTAAAACCGATGAAGATTTTCCTTAGATTGGATTTTAACCACTCCTTGTTTTTTTCCCACTCTTTGTTATCTCCTCAGCATTTTGCTGATGCAAATTTGGAATATCTGAGATGCCTGGAATCTTTTCCCAGGAAGTTTCCAGTAAATTCCTGCTGCTAATCCTTCCAGGGATTTTTTTTATTATTATTAATAATCTGGGAGGATTAATTGAAACATAATGAAATGGGAGAGAGCTGTGAAGACCACAGTGCTAATTAACGTGCTTGAAAGTCCATGGATCACTTTTCCCAGAGTTTTCTGCCACTTTTAGCTGGAGTCACAGGTCAGGAATAATACCTGGATACAAAGTGAGGTTTCTTTGGAAGAATCAAAATGCAGAAACTCCTGTCAAAGGCAGTAATTCCAATTTCCTTCCTGCTCTTCACTTCTCCTTGGCTGTTGAGGAGCTCAGCCCTGCTGCCTTCCCAATCAAGGAATGCACTTGAGTGGAGCTGCAGAGCAGCAGATTCCACCCCAAACAGAGCTGGGAAGGACCATTTGTTTCCAGGCTCATTCCCATCCCTGGAAAACAGGAGCGGGGCAGATTGTGAGGTTCAGCTTCCTGACTTGCAGAAGGAATTTGATTTTCTGAAGTAACAAGCACCCAAATCAATCACCCAGCTTGTTAAAAGTGGGGTGGTAAAGGATGCAGAAAGCTTTGAAGCTCCTTTTCCTGGAGGTTTTTTCCTCTTGGAGTGTTCCTCATTCCTGCCTGGCTGCTGCTTTAATAAATAAACTCAGAATCAACAATAACACTCCTGAACATCTCTGGGATGCAAAACAGGCACTAAAACAACATCACTTCTTCATTTAACAGCACCCTGAGATCAATAAAATTCCTGCTGCGGGTCAGAGCAATCACGGAGCAGAGGCGGGGGCAGAGCTGGGAGAGCTTGGCTGGGACTGATTGCAGGAAAAACAAAAACCACTCCAGGTTCAGAGCCTGAGCATGGCTGCTGCAGGTGTCCCTGGGGTTTGAGAAGTCCCTGGCAGGGCGAGGAGAGGTCTGTGATGCCCAGGGTGGTCCCATTTCCCTGAGATCCTGCCCTGGAAAGGAGCTGGCACTCGGCAGGGAGAGGAGTTAATGTCACCTGCACTGGGTGGGTGACACAGCCCTGGGAGCTGCCACAGAATCCTGGAGGGGTTTGGGGTAGAAGGACCCCAAAATCCATCCAGTGCCACCCCTGCCATGGCAGGGACACCTTCCACTGTGCCAGGTGCTCCCAGCCCTGTCCAGTCTGGCCTTGGGCACTGCCAGGGATCCAGGGGCAGCCCCAGCTGCTCTGGGCACCTGTGCCAGGGCCTGCCCACCCTCACAGCCAGGAATTTCTCCCAAAAATCCCACCCAATTCTCCCCTTTTCCAGTTTGAAGTCATTCCCCCTTGTCCTGGCACCACAGCTCCTGGTGCTGAGTCCCTCTCCAGATCTCCTGCAGCTCCTGGCAGGTGCTCTGAGGGCTCCACTCAACCTTCCCTTCTCCAGGCTGAACATTCCCAACTCTCCCAGCCTGGATCCTGTCCCTTTATCAGCTTCACAGCCCTCCTCTGGCCTTGCTCCAACAATTCCCTGTCCCTTTTCTGTTGAGTTTACTTTTATCCAGGAGCCTTTCAAGAGCTGCTGTTGTAGCTGGGGCCAGGCCCAACCCAGAGCTGAGCACGGGCATGAATTTGGATTTATTTAAACCCTGCAGAAAACATAAAAAAACCCTCTCACCCCTCTCCACTTGCTCTTAATTTCTGAATTTCTCGCAGATAATACCTCAGCAGAAACAGGATAATCACAACATTAAACACAGGCAACACAAGAGCCCTGCTCCTGGAATAATCATCCTGCCCACACAAATGCTGCTGCTGTTTCCAGGAGCACAGGGAAGGGAGGGAGCTGAGCTCCATCTGCCTGTGCAAAAGATGCTCCTGTGGCTGGGGGATAAAGCTCTAAAGCTGTGTTGAACCACCACGAGGTGATTAATCCCGGAGGCTGAATGAGCCTCATTAACAGGGAGAGATCAGTGACATTTCCCTCCCCTGGGAGGATTCTGAGGGGAAGGCAGAGCCCTGATCCTGCCGGGATTAGTGGCACTTCTCAAGGGCTCACGGGGTTGTTCAGCACATTTGGAGCTCGTGCTTTGTCTGCTGGGTGCTTTTTTGCCTTTTTTTTTTTTTTTTTTTTTTTTTTTTTTTTTTTTTTCTTTTTGAGCCTTGTAGAAACTTCTCTCAGGGCAGCAATGGGTGGAAAGTCATTTTCTGTGCCACTGGAAACTGCTGCGAGGGCAGTTCAGAGGATTCAGTCAGGGCACAGTTTGGCTTCTGGGAATTTGATTTGTTTGCCTGATGTTTTGCCTCAGCGAGCAGGGAAACGATTCCTTTTGCTGCTGGGTGATCTGTTCCAATAAGAGCAGTGAATTGTAATTATTGCACTGAGGGTGGTGGGGGAAGATTCAGCATGGGGGTAGAACGCCGAACACGAGAGGACTGAAAATCTCCCAGTTTTTGGGGTGATTCTTAATTAGTTTGGCATTTCCCTTCTCCTGCAGCGCCCTTTATTTGAGAACGAGTAAATCTGAGGCTGCTTCGAGGCTGTTGATTTGTTTTTATTATTTATTTTTGCAGCCTGACGGGCACCACGGTCCCTGACCTCATCGTCAGCACCCAGCACCAGATGTGGCTCCTCTTCCAGACCGACAGCGTCAGCAACCTGCTGGGCTTCAAAGCCACCTACGAAGGTAGCCCAGGCTCCCCCTGCCCAATTCCCCCTTTCCCAAAGCATCAGGGACCAGCTGGGTGCAGGGATTTGGGGGAAAAAGGGAACTCCTCTAAATAAATCAAAGCTGGGTGCAAGGATTTGGGAGAAAAAGGGAGCTCCTCTAAATAAATCAAAGCTGGGTGCAAGGATTTGGGGGGAAAAGGGAGCTCCTCTAAATAAATCAAAGCTCTGTAAGATTTTTTTTCCTTAAGAGTTTCCTTTTTTTCCTTAAGAGGTTCCTTTCCTCTATTTTTCCTTAAGAGTTTCTCCTGGGTGGGGGCTGTCCCGTTGCCATTTCAGGTGTTTTATTTGGAAAAAAGTTGGGAATTTTCAGCTGACAGCAACAGACTGTGCCTGTGGGAGGGGATGGGATGGGGAATCCGTGGTTCCAGCAGATCACTGGTGTCAGCTGCTGTAAGCTGGGACTAGGCTGGGCTGTTTCAGGTGAAATCAAAGTTAATATTGGGATTTTTTCAAAGAAACTCCCACAATGCAGCAAGATGGGAGTGCTCAAGTCTGGCCTAAGGTTTGTTGTTGTCAGGTGTTGGTAAAAATAGGGAAATTGTGAGGGAAAATCTCCCTGAGAGGTGCTGGAAATGCCCAGTGGGAGCATTCAGCTCTGGATTTTCCAGCCCCAAATGTACATTTTTCATTTTAAAGGTGTTTCTTTGGCTGTCCTGTTTGCAGCCTCTGTGAATCAGTTGGGTCTCATTTCAGCTCTGGCTCCTTGATTTTCCCCAAGATCACTCCCAAATCTCCATCCCCAACTTTCAGCTTCCCAAACAGATTTTTTTTTCATTTAATGAACAATAATTCTGGATTTTCCAGTGCTTGGCAGAAGGAGTTTGGATTAAGCTCCACTTTCCTGGAGAATCCTTTCCTTCCTCCCCAATGCACAGAGCTGAGGGAAATGCTGAAATTTTTGGGATCCTCGGGCTTCTCTTCTCCCTCTTTTCCTTTAATCCTGGGTGATTTGTTGGGAAAACTTCCCCTGGAGCTGGTGCCTTCCACATCCATCAGATATTCCTGTAGAATTCCCAGCCCATTGTAACAGCTGGGATAAAGGAATCCTTCAGGCCACATTTTTCAGAAGTTCCTGAGAAATTTAGGATTGATTAAAGAAGATCCAGACTCCCATCATTTCCTCCTTCTGAGGGATATTCCCCTATTTGGACTCAAAAAAAACCCCATTATTTCTACTGATGAACCTGAGTTTATGCCAAGCAATAGCATAAAAATAATTGAATTTTATAAATTCCTGTGGTAAGAACAGAAACATCTCAACATGAAAAAAAACCCCACCAAAAACCAGAACGAAGCCAAATTGTAATTCAGCGTTGCATTGTTTTAATAGAAAGTGAGAATTTCAAATTAAAACCAGATTTATGGGCGCTCCCACACTAATTTAATTTGGATTTCTGCTGGAATTGGGAAGGAGCTGACTCAGGTCTGAGCCCCCTGCTGCAGGCAGGGGATGATTAAAGGCTGTTTATTGTCGGGGGAGTGCTGAGCAAGGCTTTGGCTGTGGAGAGCTGCAATTCAACCCCACGGTGCTAAAGAGGCTTAGGAGCTCTGCAGGGCTGGAGCTGGAGATTTCCTCCCCTGCCCTTTGTGCTTTTAATCAAACTTTTTCATCTTACCACAGGAATTGATACAATTGATTTACTTTTATGCTATTGCTTGGAATAAACTCCAGTTCTTCAGCAGAAGAAATAAAGATTTTTTTTTTCTTTTTTCAAACTTTGCTGGGATGAGCTGCTGCTTCCTGCAGCTCTTTTGCCAATTATCCAGGTGGGAATCCAGCCCTGGGTTTATTTTTTTAGGTTCTGCATCTCCTGCCCCTCTGTTTTGTTGGTGTTGGGGTCTCTCAGGAGGCCAAGGGGTTTCCATCCCTCCTGCTCTGCTTTCCCATGAAATTAAATGTGAATTTAATGGCTTGAGTTTGTCACAAAGCAGGAGCCACAGAAGGGCTTGGAGCTCGTGCTGAGCTGAGCTGAGCTCTGCCAGGATCCTGTTCCTGGTGTTTAAGCCTGGCCCAAGGCTCAGGACAGGCTGTGATGATGCTGATCCTAACAAAGCCAGGCCCAGTGCTGCACTTGCTCTGCTGCTTTTGGGTGGCAGGGAGAGGCAGGAAGGGATTTTTCCTTTTAGTTCATCCCCCTCCTTGTTGTGTTTCCTCCATTTTTTCCTCCTTCAGGGAATCCCAGACCAGTTTGGGTTGGAAGGGGCCTTAAAGCCCATCCTGTTCCATCCCATGGGGTCAGAACCAGAGAATCCTTTGGGCTGGAATGAGATAAAAACGTGATCATTTTTATTCATTCTTGGGGGCAAAAACTAAAAAGCAGCAGAAACACCCTGGTCTTGATTCCTCCAAATTCCTACCTGACATCATTAGCTTTAATTAATTAAGCCAAGGTCATTTAAGCACAAAATCCTGTGTGAGAGGTAAAATATTTTCCTGGGTATTTCCTGACTGGGGGTGACATTTGTGGGCTTTCCTCAGTCTCACAAATCCTTCATCCCTTCCAGAAACCAGAGTTTGACTTGCTGGCAGCTCCAAAAATCCTCATTTTCCCTCAAAAACGAGGCAGGCAAGAGCAGGAACTCCCAGGGAGGAGCAGCCTGGATTTGGGGAGGCTGCAGGAGTCTTTTTTCTCATTCCTCACCCCATTTCCCACCCACCACCCTCAGCCAAACAGCACAAAGAGCTCTGCAAAATTCCTGCTGCCACATCTTCCCTCAGAAAACGCCGTTTTGTCAAAAATTTCCTCCTGTATGAATAATATTTGATGGAGAAAGCTGTGAAAGATTCATGTCAACTTGTTTCCTTTCAATAATGTCAAAACACTTGGTTTGGATGTTCTTGTTTAGTTTTGGCTTTTATTATTCTAATGTGGAAATGATTTTACTTTAAACATTCATCAGGAGGAATGTTTCAATCTTATTGAAGTAACATGTTTTGATATTTTTGAATCACTCCTTTTTTTTTTTTTTAATGGAACTTCTGCGCTGCTAAATATTTGATAGATTTTACTCCCTACACAAAGAAATGCAGGAACCAGGGGATTTTTCTCAGGTCAGAAAATGGAATTTCTGAATAAATTCCATTTCCTGACCTCTGTATGGTGATGAAACCTGTGAGCTGTTCACAAGGAGAGGGTGGGAACTGAGAGCCCTAATTCCTCATTTTCCTCCCATTTTTAACCCCCTGATTTGAGCTGGAGTTGTGCAGAGTGACAGGAATGGGTGAAGAGGGAGGAGACCCTTGAGTGTTGCCTTTATTCTCTCTCACCCAAAGGTCAAAATGCTCTGATTTTACCTCACTTGGCTGCATTTTTTCCAAGCTCCTGATGCCCTCAGCACGTCCTGATTTTACTGATGCTGCACATTCCCAGCTCCCTTTGGAATTACAGCTCTGGAACCTCTGCTTTTCCCTAAGCTGGAGCTGCTTGGTGCAGAATTCCTGTGATTCCCATCCCTGCAGAGCCACCAGCCCAAGCTGAGGGAAACATTTGGGGCTGGCTCTGGGATTTTGGCATCTCTGACCCTTCTGGGGAAGCTCCTGTGACCCTCAGGGGGACGGGGCTGCCACGGCTCAGGCAGGAATTTTCTGAGTCCGTGTGTGGAGGAATTTTGGGGCTGCCGGGATGGGAATTTTATGTCCATTTGTGGACGAGTTTTGGGGCTGCCACAATGGAAATATTTTTGTGTCTGTGTGTAGAATTTTGGGGCTGCCAGGATGGGAATTTCTTGTGTGTATGTGTGGGATTTTAGGGATGCCACAATGGGAATTTTTTGTGTCCGTGTGTGGAGGAGTTTTGGGGCTGCCACAATGGGAATTTTTTATGTCCATATGTGGAATTTTAGGGCTGCCAGGATGGGAATTTTTTGTGTCTATGTGTGGAGTTTTGGGGCTGCCAGGATGGGAATTTTATGTCCATTTGTGGACGAGTTTTGGGGCTGCCACAATGGGAATTTTTTGTGTCTGTTTGTGGAGGAGTTTTGGGGCTGCCACGATGGGAACTTCTTGTGTCTGTGTGTGGAATTTTGGGGCTGCCAGGATGGGGTCAGGCAGGAATTTTTTATGTCCATTTGTGGAGGAGTTTTGGGGCTGCCACAATGGGAATTTTTTTGTGTCTGTGTGTGGAATTTTGGGGCTGCCAGGATGGGGTCAGGCAGGAATTTTTTATGTCCATTTGTGGAGGAGTTTTGGGGCTGCCACGATGGGAACTTCTTGTGTCTGTGTGTGGAATTTTGGGACTGCCAGAATGGGAAGTTTTATGTCCATTTGTGGAGGAGTTTTGGGGCTGCCACGATGGGAACTTCTTGTGTCTGTGTGTGGAATTTTGGGACTGCCAGAATGGGAAGTTTTATGTCCATTTGTGGAGGAGTTTTGGGGCTGCCACGATGGGAACTTCTTGTGTCTGTGTGTGGAATTTTGGGACTGCCAGAATGGGAAGTTTTATGTCCATTTGTGGAGGAGTTTTGGGGCTGCCACGATGGGAACTTCTTGTGTCTGTGTGTGGAATTTTGGGACTGCCAGAATGGGAAGTTTTATGTCCATTTGTGGAGGAGTTTTGGGGCTGCCACGATGGGAACTTCTTGTGTCTGTGTGTGGAATTTTGGGACTGCCAGAATGGGAAGTTTTATGTCCATTTGTGGAGGAGTTTTGGGGCTGCCACGATGGGAACTTCTTGTGTCTGTGTGTGGAATTTTGGGACTGCCAGAATGGGAAGTTTTATGTCCTTTTGTGTCCATGTGTGGAATTTTGGGGCTGCCAGGATGGGGTCAGGCAAGAATTTTTTATGTCCATTTGTGGAGGAGTTTTGGGGCTGCCACAATGGGAATTTTTTGTGTCTGTTTGTGGAGGAGTTTTGGGGCTGCCACGATGGGAACTTCTTGTGTCTGTGTGTGGAATTTTGGGACTGCCAGAATGGGAAGTTTTATGTCCATTTGTGGAGGAGTTTTGGGGCTGCCATGATGGGAATTTTTTGTGTCCATATGTGGAATTTTGGGGCTGCCAGGATGGGAAGTTTTATGTCCATTTGTGGAAGAGTTTTGGGGCTGCCAAGATGGGAATTTTTTGTGTCTGTGTGTGGAATTTTGGGGCTGCCAGAATGGGGTCAGGCAGGAATTTTTTATGTCCATTTGTGGAGGAGTTTTGGGGCTGCCACGATGGGAACTTTTTGGTACAGTTTGGGCTGGGAGGTGAATCCTCACTTGCTCCATGTCCTCAGGGGTGGCTGGAGTGAGGTGTGTTGGTGTCACAGAGTCCTGGCATGGTTTGGATCACACAGGACCTCAAAGCCCACCCCAATCCATGGGCAGGGACACCTCCCACTGCCCCAGGGTGCTCCAGCCTGGCCTGGGAGACACTGCCAGGGATGGGGAATCATCACCAAATGCCAGCAGCCAGAGGGATCCCAGGACATCCACAGCTCCTTCCCCAGGCACCCAGCCCTGGGGACACTGGGGGGACACTGGGGGGACACTGGAAATGAAGCCCCTGCAGTTCCCAGGGCTTGCTCACTGCATTTCCAGGTTCCAGGGTGTGGGAGGGAAGGGGTAAAACAGCCATGGGTGTTCTGAGTGGCAGCAGGGAGCGTCCCCAGCCCCCGGGTCCCTGTCAAACACGCTGATGAATGTTCCAGATCCACTCCTCCCATCCCAGCTCGTTGCTGTTCCTTGAGTTTTCCAGCTGAATTTTCATTTCATGCTAGGCACTGTTGGCCTTGTGCGTTTCTGAGGGGAGGAATGAACAGTTCAGTGCAGCTTTAACACCCAAAATTTTCATTTCCCATCCCTAATATGCAAGTGCAGCTCCTAAACAGTTGGATTTGGAAAGTGTGCAGGAAGATCCGTAAATCCTGGCAAAGTGCTTTCACTGAGAGGCAAAAAACGCAGCCTGTTTCATGAAAACTTTTAATATTAATTTATGTTAAATTATTTTGGAGATGCTTCATTAGCTAGCAGTGAGTTTTCAGCTCGAGATGCAGCAGAAGCTCCGTGACTTCTGCTCAAAATACACCTGGATGTGGAGTTGCCTGGAGCCAGAATAATAATGAGGGTGCTTGTTGTTATTCCAGCCAAATTGGGATATTAGAGGGAGTCATGCAAATCTCAGCTCCCATGATTTGCCTCTGTAAAGGAAGTGTCATAAAAGAGATTTCCAATTTGGTGCAAGAAATTGGAAGCGGGGAGGAAGAGACAGCGAGACTGATCAGAGATGATGGGGATAAAAACCAGAGGATTGGGAGAGGAGTGTGGAGCGGATAAATAATGTGGGAACACTCAGGAGAAATGAAGTTTTTGGGGATAAAAACCAGAGGATTGGGAGAGGAGTGTGGAGCGGATAAATAATGTGGGAACACTCAGGAGGAATGAAGGAATGAAGTTTTTGGGGATAAAAACCAGAGGATTGGGAGAGGAGTGTGGAGCGGATAAATAATGTGGGAACACTCAGGAGGAATGAAGTTTTTGGGGATAAAAACCAGAGGATTGGGAGAGGAGTGTGGGGCAGATAAATAATGTGGGAACACTAAGGAGGAATGAAGAAGTTTTTGGAGCTAAAAAACAGGATTGGGAGAGGAGAGGAACGTAAAGAGATAAATAATGTGGGAATACTCCAAAGGAATGAAGTTTTTGGGGATAAATCCAGAGGATTGGGAGAGGACAGGAGTGAGGAGCAGATAAATAATGTGGGAACACTCAGGAGGAATGAAGGAATGAAGTTTTTGGGGATAAAAACCAGAGGACTGGGAGAGGAGAAGCGTGTGGGGCAGATAAATAATCACTCAGGAGGAATACAGAAGTTTTTGGAGCTAATAGTGATGCAGGGCAGGGAGCCATTTGGAAATGGGATTGAGGGAAGCAGGAGATAACAGGGAGTTGTACCTGGGGTTTATTTGGAGTCCAAATGCACACACAGAGAGAGGGGGAGATTAACTCTGTGTTAAGGGGACAAGGCAGGAATGGGATTTAGGAGAGAATCAGGGTTGGGATGCCACAACCTGTGGGGGCTGCACCAGCTGGGCCTCAGCCCCTTCCCCACACCCAAATTCTCTCTTCCAGCTCCTTCCCCATACCTAAATCCTGTGTTTTCTCTTCCAGCCCCTTCCCTACAGTCAAATTCTCTCTCCTCCAGCCCCTTCCCCACATCCAAATCCTGTGTTTTCTCTCTTCCAGCCCTTCCCTACACCCAAACTCTCTCTTCCAACCTCTTCCCCACACCCAGATCCTGTGTTTTCTCTCTTCCAACCCCTTCCCACACTCAAATTGTGTGTTCTTTCTGTTCCAGCCCCTTACCTACACCCAAAATCTTTCTTCCAACCCTTCCCCACTCCCAAGCCATTCTCTCTCCTCCAGCCCCTTCCCCGCTCCCAAGCCGTTCTCTCTCCTCCAGCCCCTTCCACACCCCAAACCCTGTGTTCTCTCTCCTCCAGCCCCTTCCCAAGCCAAGCCCTGTGTTCTCTCTCTCCCAGCCCCTTCCCCACACCCAAATTCTGTGTTCTCTCTCTTCCAGCCCCTTTCCACACCCAAACCCTGTGTTTTCTCTCTTCCAACCTCTTTCCCACACCCAAATTCTCTGTTCTCTCTTCCAGGCCTTTCCGTACACCCAAATTCTCTCTTCCAACACCTTCCCACACCCCAAACCCTGTGTTCTCTCTCCTCCAGCCCTTCCCTACACCCACATTCTCTCTTCCAACCCCTTCCCACACCCCAAGCCCTGTGTTCTCTCTCCTCCAGCCCCTTCCTAAGCCAAACCCTGTGTTTTCTCTCTCTTCCAGCCCCTTTCCACACCCAAGCCCTGTGTTCTCTCTCCTCCAGCCCCTTCCCAGGCCAAACCCTGTGTTTTCTCTCTCTCCCAGCCCCTTCCCCACACCCAAACCCTGTGTTCTCTCTCTCCCAGCCCCTTCCCACACCCAAACCCTGTGTTCTCTCTCCTCCAGCCCCTTCCCCAGCCAAGCCCTGTGCTCTTTTTTCCAGAGATCGACCAGGGCAGCTGTGGCGATCCCGGCGTCCCCGCCTTCGGCCGCAGAGACGGCTCCGGCTTCCGCCACGGGGACACCCTGCACTTCGAGTGCCAGCCTGCCTTCGAGCTGAAGGGCCACAAGAGCATCACCTGCCAAAAGAGCAGCCAGTGGTCTGCTCAGAAACCTGTGTGTGTTTGTAAGTGGGCCAGCAGCTCCAGAGCAGCGCCCTGTGTCCTCCCTGAGGGGACGCCGAGGTGCTGGCGCCTGCCCAGTGTCACCTTCTGCCAGCTTGGGGACAGGTTTGGGCTCTTCCCTGGGCTGAGCAGGGGAGATTTGGGCTCTGCTGGGCTCCCCCTGCCTTGTCCTGAGGGAAAATCAGCCCTTGGTGGCCAGCATAGGCAGGACACAGCCAAATTCCAGATTTTAACCTGGATTCTGTTTGCAGAGAAAGTTTTGGGCTCTACTGGGCACTCCCTACCTTGTCCTGAAGGAAAATCAGCCCTTGGTGGCCAGCACAGGCAGAACATGGCCAAATTCCAGATTTAAACCTGGGTTCTCTTTGTAAAGAAAAATTTAGGCTGTGCTGGTCTTCCCTGCCTTGTCCTGAGGGAAAATCAAGTCCTTGGTGGCCAGCACAGACAGGACAGGGCCAAATCCACAATTTAACCCTGGATTCTGGTTTTGGCCCCTCATTTTTCCCTCATGATCCAGCCCTCTCCAGGCTCCCTCCTGCTGGGCCTCGGCTTTGCATTTGTTGCCCAAGTTCTCAGCAGGTTTGGGATGCTCTGCTCTCTGTGGTTGCTCAGGATCACATTTTGGGGTGGACGTGGGAGTTCCTGCACAGTCCCCATGGGGTTTTAATGCTGTCCTCTGTAGATATGTTGGGCAGTTTTTTTATTGCCCTGACAGGACCTTCCTGCAGGAGTTTTCCCCAGAGTTTTCCCTCTCTTTTCCCCAGCTGGTGATAACCTCACTCTTCTTTTTATCTCCTTTTCTACTTTGTTGGCTCTGTTAAAATCTGGGCCTTGGAGCAGGGGAGTGAGGCTGAGCCTGAAAAAAGCAGGAGAGGAAAATGCCAGCCCCTTCCCCAGCCAAGCCCTGTGCTCTTTTTTCCAGAGATCGACCAGGGCAGCTGTGGCGATCCCGGCGTCCCCGCCTTCGGCCGCAGAGACGGCTCCGGCTTCCGCCACGGGGACACCCTGCACTTCGAGTGCCAGCCTGCCTTCGAGCTGAAGGGCCACAAGAGCATCACCTGCCAAAAGAGCAGCCAGTGGTCTGCTCAGAAACCTGTGTGTGTTTGTAAGTGGGCCAGCAGCTCCAGAGCAGCGCCCTGTGTCCTCCCTGAGGGGACGCCGAGGTGCTGGCGCCTGCCCAGTGTCACCTTCTGCCAGCTTGGGGACAGGTTTGGGCTCTTCCCTGGGCTGAGCAGGGGAGATTTGGGCTCTGCTGGGCTCCCCCTGCCTTGTCCTGAGGGAAAATCAGCCCTTGGTGGCCAGCACAGACAGGATATGGCCATATTCCAGATTCCTAGGGTCTCTTTGTAGAGAAAGTTTTGGGCTCTACTGGGCACTCCCTACCTTGTCCTGAAGGAAAATCAGCCCTTGGTGGCCAGCACAGACAGGACACAGCCAAATTCCAGATTTAAACATGGATTCTCTTTGCAGAGAGAGATTTGGGCTGTGCTGGGCTTTCCCTTCCCTTCCCTGAGGGAAAATCAGCCCTTGGTGGACAGGACAGCAAATTCCAGATTTAAACCTGGGTTCTCTTTGTAGACAGAAATTTAGGCTGTGCTGGTCTTCCCTGCCTTGTCCTGAGGGAAAATCAAGTCCTTGGTGGCCAGCACAGACAGGACAGGGTGAAATTCAATATTTAAATATGGATTCTCTTTGCAGAGAGGGATTTGGGCTGGGCTGGGCTCTCTTCCTGAAGGATGATCAGCCCTTGGTGACCAGCACAGACAGGACAGGGCCAAATCTACAATTGAAACCTGGATTCTGTTTGCAAAGAAAGTTTTGGGCTATGTTGGGCACTCCCTGCCTTGTCCTGAAGGAAAATCAGTCCTTGGTGACCGGGTTTGGGATGCTCTGCTCTCTGTGGTTGCTCAGGATCACATTTTGGGGTGGACGTGGGAGTTCCTGCACAGTCCCCATGGGGTTTTAATGCTGTCCTCTGTAGATATGTTGGGCACTCCCTGCCTTGTCCTGAAGGAAAATCAGTCCTTGGTGACCGGTACAGACAGGACACAGTAAATTCCAGATTTTAATCTGGGTTCTGTTTGGGAAGTGGGATTTGGGCTGTGCTGGGCTCTCCCTTCCCTTCCCTGAGGGAAAATCAGCCCTTGGTGGCCAGCACAGACAGAACATGGCCAAATTCCAGATTTAAACCTGGGTTCTCTTTGTAGAGAGAAATTTAGGCTGTGCTGGTCTTCCCTGCCTTGTCCTGAGGGAAAATCAGTCCTTGGTGGCCAGCACAGACAGGACAGGGCCAAATCCACAATTTAACCCTGGATTCTGGTTTTGGCCCCTCATTTTTCCCTCATGATCCGGCCCTCTCCAGGCTCCCTCCTGCTGGGCCTTGGCTTTGCATTTGTTGCCCAAGTTCTCAGCATGTTTGGGATGTTCTGCTCTCTGTAGTGGCTCAGGATCACATTTTGGGGTGGAAATGGGAGTTCCTGCACAGTCCCCATGGGGTTTTAATGCTGTCCTCTGTAGATATGTTGGGCAGTTTTTTTATTGCCCTGACAGGACCTTCCTGCAGGAGTTTTCCCCAGAGTTTTCCCTCTCTTTTCCCCAGCTGGTGATAACCTCACTCTTCTTTTTATCTCCTTTTCTACTTTGTTGGCTCTGTTAAAATCTGGGCCTTGGAGCAGGGGAGTGAGGCTGAGCCTGAAAAAAACAGGAGAGGAAAATGCAGCTGAGGGAGGGGAGAATGGAGAGGGAGAAAGCAAAAATGTTGTTTTTAGAAGTGCAGGTGCCAAACTGGGGGGGAATTCCAGTGGAAATGTGGTGTGGCAGGAGCTGATCCATAAAAAGGATGGAGCTGGGAGGGGAAAACCAGATCCTGCAGAGCTGGATGAGGGTCTGGAGTGTGGTAATCACATATCCTCTGAACAGAGAGAGAGATAATTCTGCCAGGATTTTCCTGGGAAGCTGTAAGAAACTTAGAGAAAAGAATTCTCTATTTCTGTAAGCATTGTTTATAATTATATTTCTCCAAAGTACACTGTTCATAACTCACCAATAATATAAAAAGTTTTCACTTTGAGACCAATCAGGTCTGAATTTAGCGAGTCAGACTATAAAAATCACACCTTTTCCTAATAAACAATTCTGTTCTGGAGGAGCTGGGAGAGAACTGGGGGTCGTGGAGAAGGGGGAGAACCAGTTTGAAGCCAGTGCCTTTCTTTTCAAACACTGATTTAAGCTCAGAGAAATGCCTGGGGAAGGGAAGCAATTCCTCTGAGTGCTGCCTTTTCCAGCTGAACTTAGAGAAAAGAATTCTCTCTTTCTGTAAGCATTGTTTATAAATATAGTTCTCCAAAGTACACTATTCATAACTCACCAATAATATAAAAAGTTTTCACTTTGAGACCAATCAGGTCTGAATTTAGCGAGTCAGACTATAAAAATCACACCTTTTCCTAATAAACAATTCTGTTCTGGAGGAGCTGGGAGAGAACTGGGGGTCGTGGAGAAGGGGGAGAACCAGTTTGAAGCCAGTGCCTTTCTTTTCAAACAGTGATTTAAGCTCAGAGAAATGCCTGGGGAAGGGAAGCAATTCCTCTGAGTGCTGCCTTTTCCAGCTGCCATCCCTCCCTTCCTGTTTGGCTTTTTCTCTTTGTAAGCAAATCAGCTGGAGGTGCTGCTGAGGAAATAAAATATTGGAGTTTTTCCTGATTGTCTGAGGGGTGGGAAGTGTTAGACTGGTTCTGTGCTGGTTTTTCCTTTTAATTTCTTGGAATTTCAGGTGACTTTGGACAAGTTGGTGTGGTTGAGGCTCGTGCTGAGAGTTTGGAGTGAGAATAAACCTGTGGTTTGTGCTCAGGGCAACAGAACTGGGTTACAGCAGACTAGAAAGGAGATTTTTGGTAAAATAGGATTATTGATACTGATCAAATCGAGCCCCATCCATTCAAAGCATAGCAGGAGTCTTTCAGTTCAAATAATTCCAGTGTGATCTGTTCTCTGTGGCTCTGGGGATATTTATGGATCAATGAGACAATGTGCAGGCAGTGGGAAAAATACCTCACAGACCCCTCCTGACCTTCACTCCTGATTTCTTGTGCAGCAGGAGGGGTCACAGGACAAAATGTCTGAATTCCAGGTGGGAAATGTTGGGAGACCATCAGATGTGAGGGGGGAAATGAGGGAACCCTTTGCTTCTGTGAAATTTGGGGTCTGGGGGGTTGTTTCTTTGAAATTTGGGTGTTGGGGGGGTTTGTTCCTGTGGGATTTGGGAATCTGGTTGGTTTTGGGGTGTCTGGGGGTGTGTTCCTCTTAAATATGGGTGTTTGATTCTGTAAAATATCAGTGTCTGTTTCTGTACAATTTAGGTGTCTGGATGTTTGTTTCTGTCCAATTTGGGTGTCAGGGTACCTGTTCCTGTACTTTGTGGATGTCTGGGTGTTCATTTCTGTACAATTTGGGTGTCTGGGTGTTCATTTCTGTACAATTTGGGTGTCTGGGTGTTCATTTCTGTACAATTTGAGTGTCTGCATGGCTGTTTCTGTGCAGTTGTGTGTATCTGGGTGCTTGTTCCTGTTCCATTTGCGTGTCTGGGTGTCTGTTCCTGTTCAATGTGGGTGTTTGAGTGTTTATTTCTGTGCAATTTGGGTATCTGGGTGTCAGTTTCTATGAGATTTGGATGGCTGGGTGTCTTTTCCTGTTCAATGTGAGCGCCTGAATGTTTTTTCCCTGTTAAATTCGGGTGTCTGGGTGTCTGTTCCTGTTAAATTTGGATGGCTGGGTGTTTGCTTCTGCAAAATGTGGGTGTCTTGAGTGTTTATTTCTGTACAATTCAGGTGTCTGACTGTCTGTTCCTCTTCACTCTGGGTGTCTGAGTGTTTATTTCTCTACAATTCGGGTATCTGGGTGTTTATATCTTACAGTTTGGGTGTCTTTCTGCACAATTTGGGTGTCTGGGTGTTTATTTCTGTACAGTCTGGGTGTCTTTCTGTACAATTTGAGTGTCTGGCTG